GATGCTGGGTGGGCCAGGACTGGGTGTGTGGGGAGAGCCCAGACTGGAGCCAGCTGCTTTAGAGAGCTGAACAAGGATGCACCCCCAAGCCCTGACAGCCCAAATCTTGCCCCCCTAAAGCCCCCACCTGCAACAATCTGTACCCCTAGATCCACTGAGAAATTGCTTGAAATCCCCTGCGTGCTCAGAGGTTCTGGGGATCAAGCCGAAATCCTCAAATCATTGCCCCCCCCCATAGCTCCATGCAAATAGGTGGACACCCCAGATCAAAGCCTGCCTCCTAACCTATCTGTGCCTCTAGAGAGCCTGGGGGCTCCCCACAAAGAACCACCCATCCCAGCCCTACCCCCTGATCCCCCCAACCCACACACCTCCCCATCCCAGACCCACCCCCTGATCCCCCCACCCCACACACCCTCCCCATCCCAGACCCACCCCCTGATCCCCCCACCCCACACACCCTCCCCATCCCAGACCCACCGCCTGATCCCCCCCACCGCACACACCCTCCCAATCCCAGCTCTACCCCCCTGATCCCCCCCACCCCACACACCTTCCCCATCCCTCCCCCTGACCCCCCCCACCCCCGAACCACCCCGACAGCCTGACCCCACCCCTTCCCCCACAGACTCCCTCAATGCCCCCTCTCCTGAGAGCCCGCCCCCAACCCCATAACCTCCCCCTTCCCCCATCTGTCCAGATCCGACCCTCCTTCCCCCCACACACTCCAACCCCCCCACTCTGCTACTAAAGCCCCTCCCCTCGCATTGTGTCCTCGTCCCCTTCTGTTTATACACAAAGACACCCCCCCAGCTCTCCCCCGCCCCATCTCTCTCTTCTCCCGGGCTTTGGGGGGGATGAGCCAGGCGGGGATTACGGCTCTGCCGGCGGTTCAGCGGCTGGGCCAGCAGCGATTTCTCCCTGGGGCCCCACTGCCTCCTGCCAGCGCTTCCCCGGCCCGGCCCCCCCAGCGGATCGGCCCCCCGCTCCCCAAGGAAAGGCTCGAAGGAGGGCGCCGCCAGACTGGGGGAGGGGAGCCGCATGGGGCCGTGAGAAGCCGCCGCTGAGAGCCGGGAAAGTCCCCCGGACGCCTGGGTCCCTCCGAGGTGTCGATCTCCTCCCCCCCACACACAAACACGTTGTGATCCTTGCCCGAATGCCGGGGTCTCACTGATCCCCCCCCAATCCGCCGCTGACAATAGGAGCCTGCGAGCTCCTTGCCCGGACGCCTGGGTCCTACCGAGATTTCTCCCTCCCCGCCCCCGCCCCCATCCGCCGCTGACAATAGGAGCCTGAGATCTCTTTGCCCGGACGCCTGGGTCCCCACGGCGCTGGATCGTCGCTGACAAAAGGCGGTTTGGAACCTTCCCCTCCCCCCACGCCTCGCCCGGACGCCTGGGTTCTGAGGAGCCCGCGGAGAATTCGGACCCTCCCGCGCCGAAAGGAGCCGCCTTTTCGCCGGCCGGACGCCTGGGTTCCGCTACTTTCCTCCGGGGTAATTATTCTCCCCCTCCCTATGCTGATTGACAGGCTTAATTCCAGCCCCCTCCCCCATCCGGACGCCTGGGTCCCATAGCCCAGCTAGCCTGAGCCATCGAGGTTTGGAGTCCAGGGTAATTTCCATCCACCCCCACCAAAAAGCCCCCCTCCCCCCGACGCACCCGGCTGTGCCCGGACACCTGGGTTCCTCTGAGCCACCAAGATTTGATCTCTCTCTGGGGTAATATAGATCTCTTCTCTCCAAGATTTACCGTCCCCTGCCCGGACTCCTGTGTTCCATTGTCCACCAAACCTAAGCCATCCTCCCGGACTCCTGGGTTCCCCCCTCCACCCGGACGCCTGGGTTCCATTGCCCACCCAGGCTGAGCTGTCCCTTCCCCCTCCCCGGACTCCTGGGGTCCATGGGGGTCCGGGATTCCCAGCCGCGTGCGGGGCTGTCAGCCGGGCGGGTGGGGCGAGCAGTGCCCGCCCCCTCCGGAAATCGCCAGGCTGACACAGGCGGAACTTTGGGGATTTTTTTCATCTTTTCTTTTTTTTTTCCCTCTCTTTCTCTTCCTCCCAGAGCAGGGGCGGGGGAGAGCAGGGAGCCCCTTGATTCCTCTGCCGGCTCCGCTATCCCTCCTTCCCTGCCTCTCCCGCCTCCCCCAGCTCTCTCTCCATCCCTCCTTTCTCCCACTTCCTCATTCCTTCTTTCCTCAGCCCCCTCTCTCCTTCTTCCATTCTTTCTCTCTCCTTCCTTCCCGTTAGTCCTCCTTCCCTGACTCTCTATCCCTCCCTTCCTCCGGCCTTACCTTTCTCCTCGTAAACCATTCCTCCATTTCTGCCCCTTTCTCTCTCTCCTCCTCCTCCTCTTAAACTCTCCTTCCTTCCCTGGCACTCTCTCTATCCCTCCTTTTCATCCTCTTAAACTATCCCTCCCCTTTTCCTCCACCTTTCCTTCCCTGACCCTCTCTCTATCCCTCTCTTTCGTCCTCTTAAACTATCCCTCCATTCCTCCTCTTCTTCCATCCCTGACACTTTCTCTATCCCTCCCTTTCATCCTCTCAAACTATCCTCCATCCCTTCTTCCCTGCCCCCCCTTGCCCCCGTCCCCACTTCCCTCCCTGCCCCCCGCAGCCCCGGGGTGAGGATGGCGTCGGCTCCGGCGCCAGCCCTGCCGGAGTGGAAGCTGCAGCTGCTGGAGAGGAAGCGGAAGGAAGAGGAAGAGGCGC